GGGGGAGAAAGATGAGGCTTTCTGCTCCTATAAAGATTTACAGCCTCGAAAACCCTGTTCAGGGTTGCTATGGGTCAGAACCAACTCAACGGCACTTAACAACAACAACATCAACCTTGCAGTGCAAACTGACCTTGCAGTTCAGTACAGTATCCTACAGCCACACCAGGACTCCAGACAGTAAGTAAGATTTTGTAAATGATCTTTGAGCTATGACGAACAGCAGTATTTGTGCATGATTATGTGAGTAAATGGCCTGAATCCCAATTAAGAACCATTAATTGTTTATTCCTGGACTGGACTGCTAACCACAAGGTCAGCTGTTCAAACCCACCAGCTGATCCTTGGAAACCTTATACAGAGTCGCTGTGAGTCGGAACCAACACCACAGCACTTAACAACAAGAACACCGTCCTCATATTCCTACAAACAATACCTATAATGGTGTCTGTTCTGGGCTTCTCAAGGTCACCTTCATCTTTAGTCCTCACAGCTATTCATTTCTGAGTTTGTATGTTTAGTGAGAGTACTAATCTCACAGCCAGGCCAGTTTTACCACAAGAGGAACAAATCACCACCTGTTGTACTTGTGTTCTATAGAAATGACTCTTCATAGCTCTAAATCTGGAAGTAAATTATCATTAAATATAGCCTCATATTCTTAATTTAATGGTCTTAAATTTCATTTTATATTAACCACAGTTTTAGCCGCAAAGCAATGAAGTATGATGCCTTAGAAGGTGTCTTACTTATCTAGTGCAGCTATAGCAGAAGTGCTAAAAGTGAGTGGTTTTAACAAATCATTTTTTTTCTCACAGTTAGGTGAGACTCTCTGTTCTCTATGAGGGACAGCCCTTGTTTCTTTTCAATTTCTATTCCTAGCTTCCTTGGCAATCAGATGACACTGACCACAGGCTTAGAAGTTAGGAGTTACACCAGTTATTTGGGGGGGACACAATTCAGTCTCTAACAGTGCCATATGTATTCTCTAAGGTGATGGGAATTTCTCTCTGGCTCTCCTCATTTCCTCCGTATCCCTCAATAGAATTGCCTTTGACACCTGTAATTCTACTAAGTCTCTTCAAGGCTTAGCTATAAGCTTTTACTTTTGATATTGCTGTTAAATGCCATCAAGTCAGTTCCAGCTCATAGCAGTCCTGTATAGGATTTCCAAGGAGTGACTGGTGGGTGTGTACCACCAACCTTGCAGTTAGTAGTCCAGTGCTTATTCTACAGTTTTCCAGGTACCATAAAACTCTTCCAGTCTCCACCCACTACCCAATTCCAAAGCTGCTTCCACATTTTAGGTCTTTTGTTAGAGCAGTCTTCCTCTCTCCAAGACCAAATTCTTTCTTAGTTTTCTAATGCTGCTATAACTGAAATACCACCAGCAGGTATCTTTAGCAAACAGAACGTATTTTCTCACAGTGTAAGAGGCTAGCAGTCAGATTTCAGGGCACTGGTTGTAGGGGAAGGCTCTCTATTTCCACTCTAAAGGAAGGTCCATCATGTAGTTTATGTTTTTCCCATCTGCTTGCTTGCGTAATCTACTCTTAGATCTCAAGAGTTGTAAGACATACCCTATACTAACACTGCCACACTGACATAACAAAGAAACCAGCTCCCAAGTGGAGTTATAATCACAGCACTAGGGCTCTGTATAGGTATGTTGTTGTGAAGTGCATTTGAGTCACTTCTGGCTTATCACGACCCTGTATAGGTTTTCCGAGGAGCAGTTGGTGGGTTTGAACTGCTGGCTTTGTGGTTCGCAGTCTAGTGCTGATCCACAGCGCCACACCAAAGTCCCTTTACAGGTATTTGTTGTTGTTAAGTGCTGTCGAGTTGATCCCAACGCATAGCGACCCTGTATAGGGTTTCCAAGGAGCACCTGGTGAGCTTGAACCACCGACCTTGCAGTTCAAATGACTTTGCAGTCTGATGCATTAGTCCACAGCACCACACCAGGACTCCTTTACAGGTATAGGGGTTAAGATTTACAGCCCATATTTAGGAGGATGGAAGGTGGACACAGTTCAACCCATAACAGAAGGTAACCTTTGCATTTTACCCAGGAGCTCTGGTAGCGTAGTGGTTACAAATTGGGCTGCTAACCTCAAGGTCGGCAGTTCAAAACTACCAGCTGTTCCACAGGAGAAAGATGAGGCTTTCTGCTCCCATAAAGATTTACAGCCTTGGAAACCCTGTAGAGGGTTGCTATGAGTCGGAACCGACTCCACGACACATAACAACAACAACAACATCTCACAGCCACAATACTTCCAGGTTTCACTGTTCAAGCAGAGGCAAACACTTCTTTCTTTGCTTTTTCTTAGCACACCTGAGACAGATGGTTCTTTCAAAGTGACTATACTAAGAAAAGAAAAGAGAAATAAATACAGGCGGCATGAGTCTGATTAGTCCTGTACAGGTCATTGATTCCACTGCTGTTTCCTAGCTCCAAAATATTTGTGGTCGTAATTTGTTTAAATTCTTACACTGTTGTTACTGTTGTTAAGTGCTGTAGAGTAGTGACCCTGTATAGGGTTTATGAAGAGCAGCTGGTAGGTTTGAATCTCTCACGTTTCAGCTCAAACTGACCTTGTGGTCCAGTGCATTATCCTGCAGCACCACACCAGGTATTTTGTCCAAATTCTCTACAGTAACTCTTGCCAAAAGATGGCTGCCTTTCATGGGAACTTTATCCAGATTTTGCCATTTAGTTATTACCTGATATCTAGCTGGAAGTCTTTATCCTCTTGCAAAACCTGAAAAATATTTTAGTCCTCACTTAACTAGCTAGTTGGCATGCAACTCTTCTTTCCAATTCAGTTGTATGTCACTCTATGCAGTCTTTTAAAAGTAGGTAGAAGTTAAACTTTTTGTTTAGATCATTAGAGGAACTGACTACTGTAATGAAAATCTGAAAAGTAATGATGCTGTGAATTGAATATTCATATATATAAGGAGCTCTGGTAGCGTAGCGGTTACGAATCGGGCTGTGAGCTGCAAGGTCAGCAGTTCGAAACTACCAGCATTCCGCGGGAGAAAGATGAGGCGGTCTGCTCCTGTAAAGATTTACAGCCTCAGAAACCCTGTGTAGGGTCGCTATGAGTCGAATCGACTCCATGGCACATAACAACAACAACAACAACAACATATGTGGTATACGTACAATATGTCTTTCTCCTAAAGCTCTTAATGTCTCAGTTGTTTTTCTGAAGTGAATGGATTCACACAGACACATTTGGATAAAAAATACTAGATGCTTAAGTAGGATAGGAGAACACAGGAAAAACAATACAACCTAAAAGGGAAAAAAAGTGTTCTCCAGAATTTGAGGCTCAATGTGTGTGTTTAAATTTTTTTAAATTTAAATTTGTGAGAAGGAAGAGATAAAGAGTATTAAAGGTAAGTGAACGTAAATGAGGTCAGTTGATGCGCTTAGGAACAGAGGCTGGAGGAAAATGATGACCACATTTTACTAGTATCTTTACACCCTGTGTGACCCACTGTGCTCTTTCTGGCCTGTTTGCATCCCTTCTCTGCCTCATTCATCTCATTGCTGGCTTCTCATTGTCTCCCTGGGCCTCAGCTGTATTTTACTAAATGACTAGGGAAGAGCTGTCTGGGAACTAGCTGTATATTGTCCTGGGTTGGTTTCAATATATGTCATAATAGTCCCTTCTCCATGAGAGAAACTGACTAGTGCTAGACAGTGCTCTTCTGTTAAAAGCTTTATTGTGATTGTCAAATGCTGTCTCCAGATGTCTTCGTTACCTAGTGCAACTATAACAGAAATACCAGAAGTGAATGGCTTTAACAAACAAATTGATTTCTTGTAGTTTAGGAGGCTAGAAGTCCAAATTCAGAGCGTTGACTAGAGAGGAAGGCTTTCTTTCTGTGTTGGCTTTGGAGGGAAGGTCCTTGTCTCTTCAGTTACTACTTCCTGGTTTCTTGGACATCTCCATGTGTCTTGGCATATATCTTACCCCATCTCTCCCATACTTGTTTAGTCTCCTTTTTATCTAGAGAGCCACTCAAGATACAGCCTACACTAATACTGTCTCAGTACCATAACAAAGACAACCCCTTCCCAAATGGGATTATCACCATTGACATAACACCATGTCACAGTGCTTCATATTTGTGGTATTCTTCCCTGGCCTACAGTTGAGTATATGCAATCTTGCCCACAGCTTCCATGGGACTAAATGAAGAGCAGAAGGAATTTCAGAAAGTGGCCTTTGATTTTGCTACCCGGGAGATGGCTCCCAACATGGCAGAGTGGGACCAGAAGGTAGGAATTTTACTTGTGGCAAATGTCTTATGCAATGATCCTTATCTCTTTATGGTTCTTCACTTTCTGACTCTGATTGTGACAGTCCTGGTTAAGAGGTGATTCCTTTCATAGAAGCCATCCTCATCGTCTTGTATCCCTTGTTTCCCCGCCATTTGAACAGGGTTTAGATTTACTTAAAGTCAAGGTGGCACTATATCCGAAACAAAACCCAACCCACTGCCATCTCCTCACAGAGTAGAACTGCTCCTTAGGGTTTCTGAAACTAAATTTTACAGGAACAGCTGGTAGGTTTAAACTGCCAGCCTCATAATTAGCAGCCCAATGCTTAATCCACGGAGCCACCAGAGTCCCTTTAGGAGCTCTATTGTTGTTGTTGTGTGCCTTTGATTTGGTTTCAACTCATAACGATTCTGCATAGGATTTCCAAGAGCAGCTAGTGAGTTTGAACTGCTGACCTCGTGGTTACCAATCCAGTGCTTATCCTCCAGTGCCACACAAGTAGCTCTACAGATAATTTTAAAAAAGCTTTTCAATACTAGAAAATCAGTACTGTACCTATAGAACACATTTTAACTGACACCATTATAATGACAAATAAGTACATTAAAAGGATTACTGTTATTATTGTTAGGTGCTAAGGATTTGATTCTGAGTCACATGCTCTCAAATGCAAACATCCTAAATCCCCTTCATGCACCTTCCTAAAAAAACTCCATCTGTGGATTTCATCGCAGTAACTTCATTAATGGATCAGTAATTAACTCCATTAGTTGCTGATGAACCTGTTGTCTTTTGTTTATAGGAGCTGTTCCCAGTGGATGCGATGCGTAAAGCAGCCCAGCTAGGCTTTGGGGGGGTCTACGTACAAACAGATGTAGGTGGGTCTGGACTGTCACGACTTGATACCTCTGTCATCTTTGAAGCCTTGGCTACAGGCTGTACCAGCACCACAGCCTACATAAGCATCCACAAGTGAGTGCCCAAGCCTAGAGAGCATGATGAAGTGCTCATATGTTGATTGTGAACTTTGAGATTCATAAGGAAAAGATGTATCTTTTTAGGCTGCTGCTCCCTGTCAGACGAAGTTATCTTCTTATTCACTGCTTAGAAAATTGGTTTGCTAGGTTTTTTTCCAGATCCTAGATTGAGCCGATACCAGACTTCCCATAGAATGATCAGGGCACTGTTAGGTTTTTCCTTCACCCAGAGATGAAACCTCCAGTAACAAAGTATATATAAACTCACAGTTGAGGAACTCATGCAAACTAGTTGAAATAGCATCTATATTGAGGTGAGAAATTCCTTGCCCCTAGTTATATCTGGGTGGCATTGGTTCCTGAAATATGTTTTAATTGTGTATTTCCCTTTGAATTTAAATCTTCTTAATTATGATTCGTTTCCCGTCTCACTTTTGTCTGCTTCACTCTGCTGCCTGTTGTTTTCTTTTTCTCAAAATTTCATTCCTGTCCCATCTTCATTACTGGCAATCCTCCTTGCTCCGTATTGGTGTACCTGTTAGCATGTGCGTCTGGATGATTGACACATTTGGAAATGAGGAGCAGAGGCACACATTCTGCCCACCACTCTGCACCATGGAGAAATTTGCTTCCTACTGCCTCACTGAACCAGGTGGGTGTACCATTTCCTAGGCCAGGGCTAGTGGGGAGAGAAGTGTGACAATAGGAGTTCTTTGTTAGCCTACTGACAACATCTGACCATCGCTTATGGAAAAGTTGGTCTTGGGGTAACAGACTATATGGCCTGGATAGCAATACTTAGGCTTCTGGCCAGGGTCTCTGCCAGCTCCCTGCAAGCTATCATGCTCAGAGATGGGAAGTGGTCTGATTGATACAAGCAGTTTCCACTGCATACAAGGCATTCCATTGTCACTCTGGACCTTAAACTACCAAGCTAAACCATTTATATGGGGATATTTCCCTGGAAAAAGGATGGAATGAGGGCTCCCTTGACTTCATTGACTTTTCTGCCCCTTTGTTTCTCTGCCTCAGAAAGTGGAAGTGATGCTGCATCCCTTTTGACCTCAGCTAAACGACAAGGAGATCATTACATCCTTAATGGCTCTAAGGTACCACAGTATACTGTATTCTCCTCCCAGAACTTCTGAGTTGCTCCTGTCTCTCCCCAGAAGTTCCTGGACTCCTTGACTTCTGTGACTTAACATTCTCATAGGAATTTTACATGATGGAATGGAATACCTGACCCATTTCTCTTTATTTTCCTGCTCTGTTTCTCTCTTTTGATCTGATTCCAGATAATTGCTTTCAAATTGTGTCTGTCCTTTTTATACACTCATCAAGTAGATCCTTAATTCCCTAGAGTCACTGTAGCTACTTTTCTCCCTTCTCACTTTGTCTGTGTTTTATATCTCTTAGTATCCTGTTGTTGGGGGACCACAATGGCTCCAAAAACTCAAGTGTCTCTTGAATTTTGTGTACTCTGTTTCCAACCCAATAGGCCTTCATTAGTGGTGGTGGTGAGTCGGACATCTATGTGGTCATGTGCCGAACTGGAGGGCCAGGTCCCAAAGGCATCTCCTGCATAGTTGTTGAGAAGGGGACCCCTGGCCTCAGCTTTGGAAAGAAGGAGAAAAAGGTGAGTGGCTATTAGATAGGAAACATTTTGAGTTATGAGACTCTGCCATCTGCCAGACCAGCCCCGGCCCTGTTCTAGGAAATAGGCTCTCACATTTGCTAACATGTCTTTGAGGTCATTCCTTCTAGTAGGATTTTCAACAGGAGAATTTCAAATAGAATTATTGTTGTTTCGTACTGTGAGTCAGTTTCAACTCATAGCAAACTTTAAAGGCTTTAAATCTTTTTGTGAGAACAGAAAGCCTCGTTCTTTCTCCTGCAGAGTTGTTGGTGGACTCGAACCACTGACCTTGTGATTCACAGTCCAGTGCTTACCATGTGGAGCCGCCACATTCCAATAAAATGAGATAGAGCACTATTAAACACAAGGCCATGGGAAAGTGGCCGAGTTTGCCAATCATTTCCATAAGCAAACTGTTGCTTCATTTTGAGGTATTTCTTTGCCATCTCCATTTCTTCTGCTTTTGGCCTATGTCTCTTACCAGCTTATTTTGGTGCTCTTTGTTATTTTAGGAATAGGAACAGAAGATCTAGTGTTGACTAGAAGTCTCACGAATGAAAAGCATGTGAACCATTCTTAAAATTGGTGGCTATTTCATTAATAAAAGAGTGGCAGTGTTTTCATAGATACTTTGAGAAGTAAAATAGCCTGAGTTTAAGAAATTCTGTAACCAGCCCATGAACCGTAGAACAGTAGAACCATGAACTATAGTTGGTTAAATGGGTGAGACCTGTTCAGATTTTTTAGGTCTGATGATGTAACAGTGAATTACCTCCAGTTTGTACTGTTATAGTTAAGACTTTTGAAGAGATGTCAATAATGAAATGTCCCCTAAATATACTTCTCACACAGCTCCTAGGGTTTTAACAGTTTCATGCAGAGGCATGAACCTTCCTGACCCTTTGGTAACTGCCAAGGAATCGTGTTAGTGCGCCTTACACTTTTTTATCTTTAATCATATTAGGTATTTACTAAATACCACTATGTTCAAGGCAATATGCTTAATCCTGAAGGTTTACAAAATTATGTCACTCTTAGATGTGTTTGAGATCCTAAGATATATTGTTTTATGTAATCTATTTGGGGTTATCAGATACATATGGATTTATAGAGACTGACTCATAGTTTTACAGAATCAGGTTATACTGGCTCAGGTATTTGTAGTTGTATTTGTAAAGGTAGTGTTGATTGTTTGAGCTTACATAGATAGTATCTACCTCAATATGTTTGGTATATGTTGGCAGGATGCCAAAGTGAACACATTTAGTGTCTGTAGCAATATTGTAAATAAGTTGCGTAAGCTACAAGAACAAGAAAGATCTATAGATTGGTATTGGTTCTGGTTCTGCTGCTGATCCTCTGCCACCCCTCTGGTGTCACAGCTTTCTGTCCCTAGGTTGAGGAAGTTCAATAAGCAGGGATCTCTGGGTCCAGCAAACACACTTCCCTCCTGAATCTTCTTCTTTGGTGGTAGTGAAATTCCCCATTCCTGCTTCTGAGAGAACTCACTTTTAACACAGCAGGAAGGTAACATTGAGCAGTCCCTTCATTGCATTTCCAAATGTTTACAATAACAATCCTGTTAGCAGTCATTCACAAATGAATCATATATCCATCAACTTCTGACCCAAACCTATCAGGAATAAGGTGTTTGTGGGAGTTTACAAAGCCTATGGGCTAGAAGATATATTAAATAATTCACTATACCAGAATACCCTAAAGACTGAAAAGCCTAGCCTCAAACACAGACTTGTATACCACTGCTTACTACAGCACTATTCACAATAGTAAAAGGTGGAAACAAATGCCCATTAACAGATGAATGTATAAGCAAACTATGGTACTTAGATGCAATGGAATGCTGCTCAGCCACTGAAAGAAATGGAGTCGATACATGCTATAAGATGGATGGAGTTTAAAGACATTATGCTGAGTGAAATAAGGCAATCATAAAAGGACAAATATTGTATGACTTCTTTTATATAAAAAGAGAAGAAAAGGCAAATGTATAGAGACTAAGTTTATTCATGGTTACTAGGGGTAGAAGCCAGGATGGTCAAACTTTACCTCTCATACTTCAGACATATCATCAGGAGAGACCAGTCCCTGGAGAAGGATATCATGTGGAGGGTCAGCAAAAAAGAGTAAGACTCCCAGTGAGATGGATTGACACAGTGACAGCATCAGTGGGCTTAAGCATAGCAGTGATTGTGAGGTGGGCCCAGGACTGGGCAGTGTTTCGTTCTGTTGTGAATAAGATCACTATGAGTCGGTTCCAACTTGATGGCACCTAACAACAATGGGTGGAAGGGAGAGGGAAAAGGAGTTTAACAGGGATGAAAAAAATTGCAGTAAGGGTAAGGTTACACAGACAGTTACTGTCATTGATGTCACAAAGTTTTGCACTTTTAAAAAGTTGAATTGTCATAAGTTGTGTGATAATATTTGTAATGACATAAACAAAGAGTAGCTGTTGAGGCTGCTTATATATAAACGAACACCTTAAGGGATTTGGTTACTTGGTTTGGAGGTTTAAGATTATGGTTTCATGGGGTATCCCAGCTTATTGGACTAACATCAAGTTTTGTGTGTCTGTTCTACCTCCAATTCATTGCGTAGTTCCTGGGTTACAGCTTACAAGTAGTCATCCAAGGCACACCAATTGCTCTTTATTTGCCTGGGCCAACAGAAGAAGTAGGAAAGTGAGGGATGTTGGCACCAACTCACAGTGACCCTGCATAAGATTTTCAAGGAGCGATTGGTGGGTTTACTAGTTAAGCTACACTAGTATTTGGTTTCAAGAAGACTTAGAGGATGGTTTTGGTTTAAGGTGTGGACTGTCTCAGGGCAGTAATTTCAGGGATTCATTCATCCTTCATGGCTCCTGAAAGTCTGCAGTCTATGAGAATTTGAAATTCTATTTTACATTTTCCTCTTTTCATAAGTATTCTATAGAATCTTTGATCAAAATGGTCATTATTGGTATATAGGCACCATCTAGTTATGGTGTCATGGCAAAGGAGATAGTTGTTCATGGAGGCGATTTTACACGTATTTCATTTCTTCCTTTTATTCCTCACTTTAGAGCCCTAGTATTGCCCATAGAATAAACACTGAACTGCTAACTGCAAACACTAATCAAAAGAGGAAAATGCAAAACAGAGTTTCAAATTCTATGACTACACTTACGGAAGGTGATGAACTCCTGAAATTATTGCTCTGAGATAAATCAAAAGTTAAATAAAAAATATCCTCTGAATTCTCTCTCTCTCTCTCTTTTTTAACTGTTTATTATGAATTGAGTGAAGGGTTACAGACAAGCTCATCAGTTTTACATTCAACAAATCATTTTGTTTCATCTCAGTGATTATAGTCTTCTCCCTGGAACAACAGTTATCCCCATTTCCTTCCTGCGGTTCCTATTTCCAGTCTACCTTCCCATCCCTTCTCAATTTTGTCCTTAAGTTAATGTTGCCCTTCTGATTTTGACTATTGACCATTATTCCATGATGAGCATATCTTACTAGTGTTTTTGTCCCCCTAGATACTTATATACCTATTGCTTAATTGAAAATTGGGCTCCAAGGGTGAGTTCCTTTCAAGACATGAATCGTGGTTGAGAGTCATAGTCTCAGGTTCCTCCAATCTCTTTCTGACCAGTAAGCCAATCTTTTTTTATTTTTCATTAAATTTTTGAGTTTTGTTCCACATGTTCTCCCTATCCAGGACCTTCTAATGTGATCCCTTTCAGAGAAGTTGGCAGTGGTAGCTGGGCACCATCTAGTTCTTGTCTCAGAGTCATGGAGACTGATGTTCACATGTTTCATTAGTCTGCTAGGCTAACTGATTCCAAGCATCTTCAATTCTCATTGCTCTTCTGCACATGGAAAAACCAATAGCTGCTTTTAAGATCTCAGATGCTACTCACCAAAGTATAATGTAGAACATTGTCCTTGAGGACTATGTTACGCCAATTGACCATGGTATCTCCTGAGAATATGGTCCTGAGCCCCCAGGCCCAGCAACTCATTGCCTTAAGATGTTTGATAATATCTAAGAAGTTTTCGTCATTTTGCCAGCTGTATCTTCCACCACAGGAGTCCTGGTGTGTCAGACTGCAAAGTTGTTTGAACTGCAATGTCAGTGGTTCAAGCTCACCAGCTGCTCCTTAGAAACTCTATACAGGGTCGCTATGGGTCAGAATCGACTCGACGGCACTGAACAACAAGAATGTTCTACCACATTCATAGTTGTGTTTGCAGCAAAGGTAAATACCCATGTACAGATATCCTCTTTCAACCTGGTACATATTTTGTAAGTATTCCTCCAGTCTTCCTCCCATACCAGTTCAGCCTGTGTATCTGTCCATGTATCTAACCACAGAACACTGTTGTCCCAAGGTTGTATGGTGATGGTGGTTATGTGCCATGGGGTAGTTTCTGACTCATAGCAACCCTGTACAGGGTTTCCAAGGCTATAAATCTTTACCGGAGCAGAAAGCCTCATCTTTCGCCCATGGAACAGCTGGCAGTTTCAAACTTTTGACCCTGAGGTTAGCAGCTTGTTTCATAACCACAACGCTACCAGAGCTCCTGGTAAGGTTGTATATATAGCACTATTTACTTCAATTCCCTTTAGCCCTTGCCTAACTACCTGTGTTCTCACCTGTCTTCATCATTCTTCTGCCAGTCTCCCTCATGTATATTTTCCTCCCTGTCATCTGAGTTAACATGTATTTACACTCTAGCCAGTGAATTACTGTCTCTTCCCTCTTACCCCTAGTAGCCATCAAAGAATGTTTTCTTTAGCATAAAAACCATCTCTTCATGATTTTCCCTTTTCTTAATTTGACATCAATCATTTCTTCCCTAGTTTAAAACAGTCTGTTTTATCTTGAAATCTACTTGACTTCTTTATCATTTGGAAGTTCTGTAACTGTACTTTTTGTACTATAAAACTCTTTTTGTTTTATAGTTGGCCTCATTATAAATTGATACCTC